ACAAAGCCTTCATGTAATTTGGTTAGCTCCATAAATTTTTTCCATCCCCAATCATGCTCTTTCTTCCAAAACCGGTGCAGTGTATCTGAAATATTAATTTCTTTAAATTTCACATTAAGAATTCAAGTGAAATTACAAGAAAATCAAATAGTGTACCAAACTCACCAGAATACTTGGATTTCTTAGGGTCTCTATTAATTACAGCTATGGTAAACTGTGCAAAGTGACTCCATCCTGAAACATAAGCAAGCCATGCAAAGGATTACGTTTCTGCCGTCAAAAAATAAAAGCTTATCACTGCTGGAGGCATCTACCTGGGAGCAGCTTATCATGGTTGGCTACACAAAGAAAGAGTGACAAGTGATTGCAAACATCACATCCTTGTGGGTAAATCAAGATGTACCTGAAAAATCAACCAATAGATCTCAAAATTGTGGTGCACAAGTAAATCTTAAGCCTGTACGATCTCAAAATGTGGTGCATCCGCCTATCAATTAGTAAACATGTACCAATGAAGGGAAAAAACCATTAATAAAAAATGTTACCACCTATTGAACAGAAACCAATAGAAACAGAATAGATAAATATATCATCCCTTAATTCTGTGTAATTGCGTATGTAAATGAAATAATAAGGTAAAATAGCATCCAGAAGACAGAATAGATAAAAGAAAAATGCAATGTACTACAGACCCTAGAAAGTGTTCTAAAAGTCGGCGCTAGGCGCCGCCTAGGCACCCATTAGGCGCTAGGAGCCAGGTAGCTGCCGCAATTAGACATTAGGTGGTGTTTTATTGCTATTTTAGTGTGATATAGTCTAGTTTTTATGTAATATGCTGGCTAATTTCTTAGGTTTGGCTAATTGGTCTGACCTGGGTGCCCCCTAGGAGCCGCCTAGGCAGGGCCTAGGCACCAAATAGGCGCTAGGCTCCACCCAGCCACTGACTAGCGCCTTCTTGAACCATGCCATAGAACAAATAGCGCAGTTTTATATAGAAAACAACTATATCTTAAGACAAAAAAAACTAATTACATGACACATATCAAAATATTTAGGTATAAAATATCTGTATTTCTTGTGATCTGTCACGTTTTATAATACAATATCTTTTCTCTATAGCACTACAAGCTCAAATGGTCATGTCAGGGACCAAGTACGGCTTAATGAACTGGTATGAAGTTGCTAGTGGGTAGTTAGAGAGTGCCTCTAAAAGGGCGCAAGGAAAATGTGATATCTTATGCACTCATTTTTCAACAACTTATTTGTACAAAGGTTGTGCTTAGTATTGTGAATGGTCTACCCTAAGTACTACAACCACTAATTCGTTACTGGCAAGTTATCCGCCCTTCAGCATTTGTATTTGCAGAAAGTGAGCAAGGAAATAGTTTATCTACTCTGATCTGTCATGATAGATACATCATATAATTGGTTCTGTTGTCAAAATCATTCAAAATTAAAACTAACAGCCATGTCTCATATAGCAGGTAAGTAAGGAGCCTAATGCAGCACAACAAACATGTTGTAGTTTAAGAAACTGACAGATAAAATAGCAACATCAGTTACTACATGAATACCCGTACTAAGAGAACATACCATTTATAGCCGCCAACATCAAAGGAATTACTCCGCAGCTCTCTCTTGTTAATTTGGGAAAAATTATCAATCCTCCAAGTGAATTTTCCATAAAGCTCAGAAGGCCTTGGCCCTAATAAAAGAAAATGAAAACAACAAGGACTGAAGCACAAATATGAGGAAATCAGTAAATATTAGAAGGTTCAATTATCACAAACATTAATCCAGTAGAATCCTCAAACAGGTAATGCATTAATTATATCACTTCTCAACACCGTAGTTCCCAAAGCTGGATTTTGACTAGGAGGTCTAGGCGGGAGGGTGCCATCAAGTGCCAAAGCATCTGCCTTTTATTAGACTTACTAGTTGAACTAGCTGTCATGAGATGTTGTATAGCCATTGAATTTTATTTAAAAACTGCTGTAAAATTATCGAGAGGTTATTGTAACAGGGTAATATAGAAACACCTTGCTAATAAATATGCATTTGTTGTAGCACATAGAAGCGACGTAATGCAGAACCCTATTTACAATTATGGAATGTGATGGAGTGTTGGCGGGTCGGAGGAACCCCCCCCCCCCCAACACACACACACACACACACAAAAAAAAAATCAGAAGCATGGGAAGATATTTGATTCCTATGGCTGTACATACTAGATAACTGAAAAGAACAATATTTTTCATGGTTCTTCCACAATGATACATTAGGTATTTAGGCCGGCTGGGCAATAACCACTAGTATGGAAAGATCTTAAAGGTAATGCATTAAGCAGAAACAGGAAATAGGAAAGCGAATTAAAGAACGAACCACAATCATCATCATCACTGTCCGAGTAAGCTGGAGAAGTTGATGGTGTTCCATTCTCAACTTGCTCGCTCGATCTCCATTCTGCTAAAGATTCCCCAGAATGACTTTGCTGATCGCTTGGCAACTCTTCAGTTGACGAGGATCTACCATCCCCTGTATAGTCCTCAATCAAAGTACCAGCCATGAATCAATCTTCAGGGAAATGCAGCTCAGCTATCCGCCTCACCCTTTTTGCTTCTATAATAGTGAACCAAAAGCCATCAAAGTTCAGCTTCAACGTGCGCTGACACCACAAAATGAGAAATCAACAGAGGTAGACCTAAACCTAACCCTCGGGAACACAACAGCTAACAGCGAGCAGGTGCTATGCTTCACTAGTTTGCCAGTAAAACCTAATACATCACATATCAAGCAACTGCAAGCGACTAATGTATACGGAACCCGAAGTAAGACATTGTGGAGCACAAAGGAACAGAGCTGACATGAGATCGATAGTGTCCTAAGGTGCTATCATATAAAAAACTACAATTCTGATACCATATAAAACTTATAATTCTGATATCATGTAGAAACTATTATAATTCCGAAACACCCTAGTCATTAGGGCGCCGCTACTGTCATATAAAACCACCTCTAATTCCAACCCAACGATCTACTTTCGGCCGCGAGAAGAGTAAAACCTAAGCAGCATTAAATCATCTACGTCGAAGTTACCCATTTCTGTTCTGTTCTTTCACCCTAGGCCCTATATGCAACAACTAATAGAAATTACAGCGCGGGCAAGCAACGAGCAACCATCCCGATCCAATCAAACAACGCCCGCCACGCAAGGATCGCCCCTCGTCCAATCCAACGCCTCCCCGGGAAATGAACGCCACACCGAGAGAGAGAGAAAATGATAGATTACGCGGCGCAGGAGACAGATCGGGACCTCACGGTCGGGCAATGCCTCACCTCGCCGGGAGCCCCCCCACGAATCGCGCCGCCGGGGCACCTCCTCTCCCCGCGTCGTCCGGATCTGACCTCGCCAACCCCCCTCCGCCCGTTCCAATCGGGGAGAGACCTCCTCCCTCTCGCTCGCCCGCCCACCTCACCGCGCGGGAGATCGTCACCTCCTCGTCCTCCTCGGCGTCACGCGGCGGCGGCGGCGGCGGTGGCCGGGGCGGAGGAGGAGATAGGGGGGGAATGGGAAGAGATGGAGGGGAAGCGAGCAGCGTGGTGCGTGCGCCCTAGTCGAGTCGAGGAGGGTGTGAGGATTTTTGGCTTCTCCTCTCTCTCTCTCACACACTTTTTTTTTCCTGTCTTTTTTTTTTGTTTGAGTTGAATAATCGGATCGGGTTTAGGCTTAGGGTAGTGTGGGGTAGGACGATGAAGATGGGGGATGTATATATAGGGTGGGTTTTTTTAATATTTATTGGTGGGCTTTAATTGTTGTACAAATACAGAGATATGGTATTAAATGATGTTCTTATCTGGAAGGGTGCAGACGTAAATGTGGTGTGCATATGTATAAATGGAGTGTATCTAAGAGATTTTCTACGAGCGGTGAGAGGATCGCTAATGGATCGTGTAGTACCGTAACGTTTTGTTTGGATTAGGTCAATGTTCTTTTAGGGTTAGGTTTAGGATGAGCGACTTCGTAAGTCCGATAAGATTGATTCACCATGGTGAAAAGGAGAGTGGCATTTCACCTATTAAACCAAGCTAATTGTTTGTGACATTTCTTACGTTTCTCCATATTACATGTAAGATGTCGGTAAAAGTTAAAAATCACAATCACAAGGAATCGTTATGATAAGCTTTCAATCGATCTAACGGAAAGACCAAATCGTTATGACAAGCTTCCAATTAATATAATAGAAAGACACATGTCTACGCTATAAAATATCTTTTCTTTGAAAGAAAAAAGAAAATCTATGGCACGATTGTAATAGTAGGCATATTTATCCTGCTAATTCATATATGTTGGATGTAGCTAAGAGCCCCTTTGAAGTGGATTATTCCCATGGATTATTTACGCTATGAGCCTATGATTAAAAAAATGATTTTTCAAAAAAAAAGTACATCATTTTTGTTTATATGCTTGTTCTAAGATTTTACCCGTTAGGTTTTAATGTACAATATTCAGATGTCCCAAAAAAATATGTAGACCATCTGTCAGCGTTCATCGATATTTCTTGAGCTCCACAATATCGCAATCGATCCTACATGTAATATATAACAATATTTTTGAAAATGTAATAAATAACAATATTTTTGAAACTCATTAACTACATGACCATTGTTTGTTTCAACCTGCTGCACATAAGCACATTACGGATGCCCTCGCAGCTTAATTTCGTCGGACAATTGCACATTAGGATGGCCTTCTAACGTAAAATATATACAGTACAGGTCAAACTTAATTGTTACCCTTGTACTTAAGTTGCTGTACTTTGTTAATTGTTACCCTTGTACTTAAGTTGCTGTACTTTGTTAATTGTTACCCTTGTTCTTGCAAACGCAGGGTGTAGTGTTTATCAATCAGATGGAATACGAGCATATAGACAACCAATATTTTCAATTAGAAATTAAGAAAAAAAATCAAATTAGAGATAAGATCACAATTCATGACAGTATGATGCAAACTCTCAAAAAAGGAGAGCATTTCATGATCATTGCAATTTGCAAACTCCAACAGAACATTTTCCAGCACGATCAATTTTTTTGAAGGTTCCTATTTTGTACGCAAAATGAAAGATTCACAAAACTATATCCGATATTCTGATTGCTAGCCAAAAAAACAGAAAAGATATTCTGATTGCTAGCCAGAAAAACAGAAAAGAGGGGAAGAGAATAAAGGATCTACGGATTCAGACAGAAATTTAACATCTCCCCGAAAGTCTCCAGCCACACTAAACTTCCAAACGAAAGAAACAAAGTTACATCAATTTAAAGATTTGAGAACTTCTCAAATCGAACATGCAACATCCTACAGAGCTCTGGAGTCTCTGCCCAATCCAACAACCCAATATCAAAATTCTTAATGAACCGGCATGAGCATTCTTCTGATGGTTTGAGTTCAAACAAATCCAAGAATTCAGGTGTCATCGACCTGGGAATGGAAGACAAAGCTTGGAAATGTAGTGGTGATGTCCCTGCACACATGTGGCAAGATTAGCTTGTGCTATAGAAAAACAAAAGTGTCTACAACATTTTTATAGACTTGAACATTTTTATGAACACCTAATCTTTTTTAGGAAAAAAAATACTTCTTTAGTTAAGAACAAAAAAGGCAGTGTGTTATTTTTTGTCAATATATGAAGTGCTGTTGTATCTGTGAAGTGGATTGCTTGAATCTGAAACATGGAGCGACCAACTCATCCAGTAGTTCAACACATGTTTTTTTAGAAATAAAAATATGCGCAGTGAGTTGACAAGGCATGTATTTAAAATCATGAACTTGTTCTTTTCCTCTTACATATTATGGATTAGATAAAACAATTACTATTTAAAATCAAGAGATGATACAACATGCTCTCCTCACTCCTCCATGCGACTCTATGTGCATGCGCAATTTTAATTAGAGGATGCTTGATTTACACATTTCAAGCATGCATCTCTCTCCGTAACATTCTTTCCTTTGCAAGACATTGCAATGGCAAATAAAATTTGGAATGGGAATCCGAATCCAACCATTTTTGTTCAAGAACAGCAGTAAACATTGCCATTACAACTATCAAGATGAAAACTTAAGGTGTCCAACATTAAGTTGAGAGAATTCAGAATTGTGCCCAGATGTAAATAAAAGACAGGAACAAAAAGAGCCAAGCTATTAAAAATATACAGAGTATAAACAAAAAAAAAACATATCTTACTTGAGGTACTGGAGAGTCATGTTCTTCAGCAAAGAGGGATGACGAAGAACCAGATTGCGCCACTCTTCTTTATCAATTCTTCCATCATGCTTTGTGTCTGCCTCCTCAAATGTCTACAAATAAGAAAAAATAGTTTAGCATTGGAAGTTACAATTAAAAAGAAACAAGATAAACTGACCATATCTTATGCCAAGCCTATTGAGGATATGTCATCTAAATATCTATCTATTAAAAAAAAGTAATAGCACAAAATCAGTATTACTTCTATCAGTTTAAAAATAGTGCCATCCAGAACACATCTAATTAAACCACAATAATTTGTGCGAACATTATTGTCTATAATATATTAATATATAATTTGGATGAAAATGAAGAGTAAATTTATACATAAAATACTATGATAATATTACACATTTATAGTTCTTTTAGTACGTGTCATCTTATTGTTACAAATTGGCACATTTCTTACTATGTTTCACCAAGAAGTTCAATGTTTTTTTTACCAACATCTTATATAATAAGGAAACATACCGATGCAGTTTTTCATTTGCAAAGTAAATACAGTATATATGTAGTATGATAAGGCTAGGCTATACAAAAGTCTGACCTATATAAGCAGGCTGAGAATTACTGATTACCACAAAATACCAACTAAAAAAATACCATCCAATACAGGGTATAACCAAACACAACAAAATATAAATGGAAACCGTAACATACCTTATCGATTATGCTCTCTATAATTTCATCAGAAAGATTCATTCCAGACTCAGCAAGTGTAGCAACAACCATCTGCTTAACCTGATAAATCAATTTTATAAACTATAGATGAAGTAAAAGGAAATATCCTACCCAAAAGAATGACATCCACAACAAAACTATTTAAAATATTTAGCTTTGATAATGGCATATCAGCTATTTAAAGATTGGCAGATATAGTCATCATCTCTCAGCAACAAAGCCCAGTGCAATTCATTGGAATCAAAACCTAACTCACCTAAACGCAACATGATTAAGCTATTGCTGCTACTACGTGATTTAAAATCTTGTAAAATTCAACGACAGTGATCTGACAGTATTAATGAAAAAATGACATTTCTTTCTGCAGTATGCCATAACAAAACAACAAATATAGACCATCAAGTACAGAATAGTTACATGAATAAAACCACGATTTCATGTATCAGAAACAATAAAAGAAAATGTTGAATTAATCGAAGTGTGTGAGCCATATAGACAAGCCAACATGCTAGCTTGAAGGAGCACTGTGCAATGAGTAATTTGGCATCAATACCTCTTGTCTCTCAATATAGCCTTGTTGCTTGAGATCATATAACTGGAATGAAACTGCAAAAATTGCATAGCTTCTTCAGAATTTTTTGTTGAGAAAAGATAAGTAAACAAGAGAAAACCTGGAGGACAGCATAGAAGTCAGACTATCAACTTTAAGTCTACAATAAATACTTTTGCAAATAAGCTCCAAGCCATTATTGTGACAATACATAATTTAGAACTGCATAGATGAGGAGTAAAATATCTAGCTACAGTACGTCTGAACTCACAGTCAATCTTCTCATCAAGTGGAGCACTTGGATGAAATACTGAGAGTGCACGAGCAAATTCATCAAATCCTAAAATTCCATTGTGTTTTGTGTCAAACAAATCAAATACCTGTAAGAGCAGGGAGAATATTAAGAACATGAGGCAGCACGGAGATAAAGGCAAAATCTGCACTGACATCTATCATACAGCTATTTTTCTACAAAGAATTTGGTCACATGTAGCTTCAACTGATAAATGTAACAAGACAACAGTTGTGATGGACAGTATTAGCCATACAACAATACCAATTGATTTCAATGGAATTTAACTACAAAAATATATTTACACGATAAGGCATTCGCTTATAGTACGAATGGCCAATGAAAGGTACTACTCAAATTTGGATAACAAACGGATCAAAGCTCACAAATCAGAACTCAAATACAGAAGTGTGCTAGATGCAATGCAAAAGGTAAAAGACACTCATAATGATAGCATAATAACATAATAGCCAAAACACTTAAAACATGTGCAAAGTCCCAATTATGCATAATACAGCACTCCATCTGCGAAACATGAACATTGTGATTAAGGAAACTTGTAACTGATACAGACGAATCAAGTACACACGAGATGTAAAATGTAATACTGATGCTATAGCATAACAGTTCAAGAAATTTCACGTATAAAGTAATTAATGATTTGGTTACAAACAAACATGCATGAGGATTAACATTAAAAAAGGTACTAGATAAGATGTCGGAAAAGCCTAGAGAATTCTGGACAAGGCCAAATTAGAGCGGGAAATAATGAAATGGTGCAGGCCATAGGGCGGAAGACAAGCCATGGCAGGGAAATGACTAACCAACGGTCAGATGTTATTTGGAGACATGTTTGGCAGGAAACAATACAGGAAAGGAAAAATCCTAAATTAAAGCATATGCGGTATATAGCATATCCGAAACTTAGACCAATATAATCCTAGATAACTAATACTATTTCCATGCAATTAGAAGCATTCAATTTTGTCCAGTATAGTCAAATAGTCTCTAGTGTTCAATTGCTCATGCTTCATTGACTAGGCGCGCCTAAATCTGTCGCTTTTCAAAACTTCCAAAAGAGAAGAGCGCGATATACCGAATCAGAGCAACGGCATGCAGCACCATACAATAATTAACAAGTTTGCAATCAATGCAGACTTACACGGTCGGCGAACAGGCTCTCCTTCTTGCTGGTCTTGAACAGCGCCAACTGAAACTCCTCCTGCACAAGGTCAACGGACAAACACAGTCAGTGATTGCATACAGGTTCACAATAACATGCCTTCATCAATCAACCAATCAATCAATCCCAATTCTACGATACAAAATCGTGGCGCGAACAGAGGACTCCACACCAACCTTGTTAATCAGCCCGTCATCAATCACAGCACTGCTTATCTTCTTGAAGAGCTCGTACAGCGCCTCGACCTCGCTCACGCTGACTGCACAACACAAGGCCACAAAATCCAACCCAACCACACACACCAGTCAAATTCCCCCAATGAGACAGGCTCAGCAACAAAAGGAAGGAGGAGTACGGCGCCCCAACCAATGGCGAATGCGGCGGACTTACAGACGGTCTCCCTCGCGAGGACCTGGGGATCCTCGAGCCCCCGCGGCTGCTTCAGCTCGAGGTCGCAGCACTTGAACACGACCGCCAGCAGCTGCCTCACCCCGTCGAGACACTGCACCATGATACTCTCCCACCACCACCACCACCAACGCCCCCGCCCCCTCCGCCGCCAACTCCTCCTCCACCACCACCACCACCAACAACAACAACTCCGCCGCCGCAGACCTAGCTACTCACCGCGGCCGCCCATTCCGCGGCCCGAGCCGGTGCCAGGGGTTTCGATCTTCGATCCTGCAACCAAGCCCCAACCAGATCAATCAATCAATCAATCGCCATCGCAGAATAGAGTAGCCCTCCCTCCAACTCGACCGATCGAATCGGATCACAGAGCTGGGCCACGCGCACCTCAGGTGGAGAGAGCGAGAGAGAGAGAGGTTCCACGCCTCGCGGTGGAGGAGGTTAACCCGGAGCTCCGATCTCGCCGCCGCCGCCGAGGTGACGGGATTCGATAGCTAGCTAGGGCACGCGGGGTGAGATCGCGAAGGAAATTCGGGGGAGGAATCGAGGATGAACTGGCTGCGATGCGTATGCGTGTGCGCGTGCGTCTACTTGTACTCGCTTGGTTTCCGCATTTGGGGGGGGGGGGGGGGCGAGGGGCGGGTTGCGGCGCGTGACTGCCGCTCTGCTCATGATTGGGGGGGCGTGGGTCGCTGGGCGGGTGGGGCCCACCACAACGGCGGAGGGAGAAGCGGGCCGCCGCGCAACGAACAAGCACGAGGAGGCAGGTGGAGGGAAGGGAAGCGGAGGGGGGAGAGAGAGACGCACGCGGACGCCCGCCGCCTAACCGAGTAACGGACTAACGGACGGACGGCCGCCAGATAGCGTGCCGTTTCTTCTGCCTGCGCTTTACTGCACTTTTTTTTTTCCGTTTGGAAGATTGATTTGAGTGTTCCAGACGTTCAGTCTCTCCGGTGGTCCGGTCTCCACACCTTTTCTTTTTTTTTCTTCCGTTGGAAACATGAATTTCACACGAGTTTTTTTTTTCTTACGCCTTTCATTTTATATTATAATTATTTTGATTTTAACCAAGTTTATATAAAAAATTATCAACATCTAGAACGTTAAATTAGTTTATAAAATGTATCATTGAATATATTTTAATAATATGTTTATTTTATGTGCTGAATGTTGCTATATTTCTTTTTAATAAATATACACAACTTATAATATGAAACGGAGGGAGTAGCAATAGTGTGACTAGCTACTGTTTTTTTAGTTTAAAAGCTATACGGGATGTTAAAACCGACGATGGAGGAACATGATCGTGGTCTGGAGGATGTCCATCGAACCAACGTCGGCTAATACAAACTATAGTGTTAAGTAGGCTGCACAATACCCCTAGCTTCGTATAAAACATACAAAACATATTATCGCAAACGAATGCAATAAATACGTATTTACCCTACTTACTATGTGTCGCCATGGTTTTGGCGCGACGCAAAACATGTTAAGTTTATGAATCTTTAATGATACAAGTTTTGCATCTAGTTCACCCTAGAAAAAAGGTTAACCATAGAGCCCTGAACTAATAATATTAGTTTTGTGAGATGGATAGGTTTTAGTATCTAGTGTTACCGAAATGTAATCAGAAGGGATATGTATTAATTTAGAAATTATCTTGCTATCCAAGTTTCACAATCTTCTTGGCTTCACCATTGATGGAACATACTATCACGGCGTATACAATAAATGATACTACACATTTGGTGTTGTTTACTTCCCCCATCCCAAAATATAAAGAATTTTGGAATAGAGGGAGTAGTACTTTTGTTGTGTTTTGGCGCGGAACATGTTTAATTCGATGAATATTCACATATACAATAAAAGTAAGTTTCCAATCTAATTGAATAAGGCCAATTGTAACATGCTAGTCAACCGTATTTAATGTTGTGGGTACGGATAAGTTCAAGTACCCACGTGTTACTATCAATTTCGTATCGCTTGCTTTTATACATGTTCCTTTTCTGTGCATCATTCAGATACCAAATGAGTCAACCTGCCACAAATTTCATGCCTTTCACTGTCAAGTGTCAAAGCCACCCAGTGTCCACTCAGCCTTTGCGTTTGATAAGTTTCAGCCACACAGCAAGGATAGCCATTGGCATCCAGGGGTCACCATCGGCCATGTAGAGCAACAAAGGTGGCAATTCATTGCGAGAATAAATGGACGAATCCGACGTGGGGATAAATGTGGTGAAGATTTAGTCAAGAGAGTTTGCAAGTACAACTGTAATATTAATACTTCCTCCGTTTCACAATGTAAGTTATTGTAGCATTTTCCACATTTATATTGATGTTAATGAATCTAGACATATATATCTATTAGATTGCTAGACTGATTTACATTATGAAACGGAGGAAGTAGAATTTATATCTTTGATTAATGTCCACATCAATGTCAGGCTTGAGTCGATGCTCTGCACACCTATTGTCATCATAGATAACCAGCTCTGGCACCACTTGTAAGATAAAAAACTATAGAACTGAAATTGCTTAAAATAGGCAAAATGAAACGCGATCAGGAGGGGGGATATGTGATAATACTATTTAGTTTTCATCAATTAATCTGGAGGCTTAGGTGAGATCATGTTATCAACAAGAAAAAGAAGTTTTTGTCACCCAACAGATCCAGTCTGTCAGACAGAACAGAACTGCTCACCTGATCCTGGGGTAGCATGCTGCCTTACTGAAATTAAAAATGGGACAGCTCTGGATTTTTATAAACAGAGAATGACTGTATGTGCCAGTCTATTAAGCGTGCAAAGACAAAAGGAGTAGAGTTGTTAACACAAGCTTCCAATTCATGCTTCACCTGCTTGGCTGCTTCCAAGACAATAGAATAGGGTAGCTTCTGATCCAGATCAACTCAGAATTCAGCAACTGGGCATTCCTTCCTGCCCTCATGAAGGAAATTATTCTTTTCCTTTTATAACTCCTTGTGATGTTGCAGGCAGATGCCATGGTCAGTTATCAGTGGTCAGTCGACTGCAGGTTTGCAACTTCAACTGCAAGGAACTTTCCCTTTGATTGTGTTCTAGACATGAACAAGATAATGGGGTTATAAATGTCTGAAAAAGTAATCACATAACATATTTTGATTTGGACGAAATAATCCAACTTGTCTTGCATTTCAGTTTTGACATCAATAAAATAGGGCAGCTATGACTATTAAAATTGAGCAAACTAGAGCTGAAAGAAAAGTGATACTAGATACAAATCCTATGTGCGCTTCGTCTCCACAGGGTATGCGCCATGTAGCTTTCTCCACAGGTGCAGCATCAAGATCTTTAAGCAACCATGAGCAGGATTCAGGAACAGTATCCTTCTTTCTGTAACGTAGAAGCAGATCTGGGCTACCAAACTCAACCGTCGCATAACCACTGGCATCAAGAGGCTACAAAATAACATCATCATAGTCTGCTAAGTGTCTTTCACAGAAATATTCTGACAAGGAGGCATATAACTAAAAGGCAGCGTATTGTCAGACAAATTTGAAAATTCTTTACAAAATCTGCACATGAGAAGTTGACCATGATATAAAACCTAAAATAGGACCAGATCAAGTAAAAGGCCACATGTTTTTTGACATGCTTCAGTTGTTTATACTAAATATGTAAAATTATATATATATATATATATATATATATATAGGTAAATTAACTGGTGCTACATGGAGTATGGGCTCCAAGATTCAAATTGAGTATATACCCAATTTGAATGAGTATGAATTTTTTTTAAATGTTTAGATATGAACATTAACTTCTTTACTAACAAGTTCAAACAAGTTTGAACTGAGTTTGAACTTTTTTTTGGTTAGATTTTGGTTCTAGGTATATAACATCCAAACATATAATTCGTTAGGTATGTAATAATGAATTGTGAAACAAAGTTGAGTTTGAGTTGTTTTGTTGTTAGGTATTTGTATGAATCAAATTCATATACCTAGATATCTACTTACAATTTGTAAATTTTTAAAAATTTGAGAGAATTTGTGTGTTTTATACCTTGGAGCCCGGGCACCATGGAGTCCCATATGGGTATATATATATATATATATATATATATATATGAAGTGACCACAATATATCATAGGACTAGAACAATTCCAACTATTGCATGCATCCAACTTTGAAAACCAATTGGACAGAAACATATGGTGGGAGAACTATATATTACTTTCATTACACCATGTGAGTTATAAGGCATGTGCAGCAAAGAGAAAACATGCAAATGGCACAGCAGCGAACATGGTCACTGCCAGAGAACTTAGCTTATTTGTTTTCTTTATTTTGTTATTCCTTGAACCATCCACTAATTACATGTTGAAATTTCATATGCAAGTATTCTGCTACATATTGATGTTAGAATTCCATAGAAAAGCATTTTTAAGTGCACTCATAGATCTTTCTTTTCACAATCTGGCTTTGTTGATCACATCCTGCAGAGTGTCTCTTATGTATCCTGCCTTTAAAAGGTTTTAAAAATTCTCAAGTATATGCGAAAATATATATGATAGGGATGTACAGTTTGGGAAAGTTTCAAACTCAACTCCCAAAGTAAGAGGCAGACACGAAACAAAAAATATAGAACGAATGGTGATTTTCAGTGCTTAATTACTAATCTTCTGGCTTGTCCCTTTTTGGTATATTGATAAATAATACATTTGAAGCTAAATTTTGCCAGGATATGACATTGTTCTACCTTACTTCAATGTTCTTTTTAGTTATTCTGGAAACCTATTATGTCTGGATGTGCAAGAATGGTACATAAAGGTCACTGGTAATATATGGCCTGTGAATTAGAGGGGAAAAAAATGTAGCCATGATGTATTTCTCAGTGTCTATGGAGGCAAAATGTTCCCGTAAAACAAAGATGGAGCTAATAAACACGTGAGGTGTTGAATATTTCAGATTAAAAAAAATTCTCAAGTTGAGAAGGTAAACCTGAACAGTATCACTTCTATTATCATTTATAGAGAACATATGAATAGCAAATGGATCTCAAACAAAGGAAAAAAAAGCAATGTAGAATTGTAGAGAATGTTTTATATGAATACAGCAGAACCAAGTAATTACTTCAGAAAGTTCATTGAGAACCTTACTGGGTATCTAGCATGGAGAGGCAGGTCTATTACAAGGTTACAGTTCATCGATGCAAGTGGTGCGAGATCAACATGGATTTCCACAGATGACCGGTTGGATAGAGCCGAAGGCAGTTCAAGGTTGGTGTCTCCGAAAACAACCATATCAAGATATACTGCAGCATAGAAAACAAACTTGATGCAAAGAGAAGAATATTGCAGTTGTATGGTCTACCTCAATTTTCTTAGTTAGAAATCACCTTTCCGCTCAACAAAATGTTGTAGCTCAAATGGGTCAGCAAACACACCATTCGGGAGATTTTCTATTACCACCAGATTGGCATCATAGTTATCAAGGAAATTAACCATAGCATCTGCACAGTTAGCAAATTCCACATGATAGACTAGACGGCGATGAGAACCTTCACCAACCAGTTCCGAGTGCAATTCTGTAAGCATGGGTGCATCAAGATCATAATCAAGTCCTTTGCATGAGTCAGCAGAATCAGATGTTTCAGTCAAGTCACGATGTTGAGCAAGCTGGCCGATCAAGGTATCGAGGTATGAATCAGCGACATATCTCCTAGAGCACGGCATACACTTGTTGAATTTCTGGCTGGTACCTGCCTGTTCAGTACTATAATTAGTACTCACCCATGCGTACATGAACATTAGACAACTACTAGCTAATTAGGAGCAAAAATGTGCTTAAATATTCAAAGCAGCACTTACATAGTTATTAATAGCAAGGCATATTTTATATTGCAGACAATGTACAGTGAACTACCACTGCACTACATACCATCTAAGTCACTTACAGCAACCTAAATCTAACATGGGATAGCTTCAAAGTTCCTGCTCAATTTTGGGACTAACTACATCATCAACGAGAAAGACACTCCCACGAAGTAAATTATACCATTTCCACAGTTTTCTGTATTCTAATCTGCACTAATAATACAATGGAGCAGCAGCATGCCAGCATCTCCGTGAATTGGTCAATCAATTGACAGTAAACTAGGGGATTTGGCATTCATTCTCAAGTGCGCAGCCAAATCCAATTGAACAATTTAACACAATAACTCCGCATAAATCTGCAGAAAAATCAGTATGAGCCAAGAGCATCCACCACAGGTACCTGCCCAGGCGATGACGACGACGACGAGGCGGCCGCAACGCCCAAGACCCAAGCCACGACCACGACGAGCAGCCACGGTCCGCTCGCCGCGGCCATGGATTCTCTTTCAGCAGCAGGGCCTCTCACACAGAGCAGCCGCTCAGAGCGCCGGAGGCCGTGGTGGTCGAGCCGGATCTAACTACGGGGACGCCCGGTCGCAGGCGGCGGATCACAAACGGTAGCTCCTCCCTCCCTCAACTGTAGTACAACCGGCCAATCCTCCCTCCCACGATCCAACGGCAGCCGCCGGGGGGCAGTGTTGGGGATCGCCGTCAGGGCCTCGCCGGCGGCGAGTGTGGTGGGGTAGAGGGAGAGGTGGGAGGCCGCGACGGCGACGGCGACGGCGGCGGCGGCGGCGGGAGCTCGCGAGTCGCGTGACCGTTTCCGGGGAAGACGACGGAGTGGGTCACAGATAAGGAGGGAGACGTGGAAGCGCTGTGAGACGTTGGATTTTAATCCGATGGCTGAAAAGGTTCGCAATATTTTGAGGAGAAAAATTCTTGCTCCTCTAGGGATTAATATTTCTTCTATCCACAAATATAAGGCATTTCTAGCGTATAAATTTAACTACAAATATTAGCATTTTCTAGTGTACTTTTGTTATAGTTCCCTGCATTTGTGGACAAAAAATGTATTTGACGTTTTGGACGAGATTTTATCAATTTTTTGAAATTCGACCATCAGTTTTAATTTAAAATAGTATTATAAAATACAATAAGTTTATGATGTTGCGATAACACATTATGAGACAAATCTACATACGACATTTATTTTGTGTTTAAAAAAGCATTTGAGAAACTATTAATGATATGTATTTTCAACAGTTTGATGGAATCTTATCCAAACGTCAAATATTTATACATTACCATTGGTTTCATTCCTTCAAAAATAAAAATGAAATTATTGGAGTGAATGAAATAAATACATTCAGATACAAAAGGTGTTACATAAGTACATAACTCAGCAAAATTATCTTCTGATTGCCTGTTCTTTTCCAAGGATGTGTTCACTGTGAAAAACTATAAAACCTCTCTATAGGAAGACTTACATGTATTATTTCAAAGACAACAAGAAAGCATTGGTGCAATTTATGTCCTATTCAATCCTCTTCTTTCTTTTCTCAATTTACTGTAAATTAATGCTACCATGATGAGGGTATATGTAACTCCAATAATCTCCAAATATGCATCAATCCTCACAATTGAGGAATGATCAATATGGGAAAGACCCTGTCATTTTCATATGATTAAGGGTACTTCTCAGGCCATAGCTTTCGACAGCCCGATTGGCAGCTCGAAAACCATCTCCGTATGCCTCAGATGAATCCGTTTCGATCTGATGTTTGATGAATGCTCCGAGCTTCTTCTCGAATTCGGTCTTTGCGCCCTTCTTTGATGTGGTTGGAGTTGAAGATGACGACGACGAAGATGCCACTGAGGTGGCTGATATGTCGATACTAGAACCAAAGATGATCTCTGACTCGAGCCACATGTGGGAAAGAACTTGGCATATGCCTTCTTCAACCTGAGGACTAAGAGACCGAAATCCTAGAGAGAGAGAAAAAAAAGATGTTACTAACACTGATTGGAAAGGGAACATGGAGGTGGCATGAAGTAATGGAAGTGCACATGATTGTTTGCCAGAACAATGAGCAGAGTAAATGTACCTTTCAGACGTAGATAAGCATGCATCATTTCATGGGCGAGAATTGAGCCAGTTTGTAATCTGCATGACAAGCACGTTATAACGACAGTGATTAGTGGTATGTTCCGTTTTTTCGGACTCTGATGTAACATGAGTTGATTATGAAAGATTCTAACAAAAACTTTGGTCAGTACTAAAGGAAAAACTAAAACTTATACAATGTACCTCGGCAACCCATATAATATCAGGATTGCAGTCACTTCACATCGTCTTTCCAGCTTATATGGTGCTGTGATCATATCTATAATTCTGTTTCCCGGTCCAATTATTGGTCTTCTTAAGATCTGGATGCATTACATTATTCATCACATGCATATTTTTTGTGTCTGCCAGTTATCAAATTTATGCAGTAACAAGGCGGTATTTAACTCACCGTTCTGACAATTTGCTCTTCAGAAAGACATAGTCCCCTTGTTTCAGGAAGATGATGCCCCTGAGATGACAGAAATTGAAAACCTTGTAAGTTCAAAATATACTAACATTCTGCGCAAAAACATAACAAAACTCTCATGTTCATGCCACTTACATTTTTCTCAGTTTCTAAAGCCTCATTTAGAGCCTGTCTCTCAACCAAGAGTATTGGAACTTGTTGCTCCACTTTCATGTTCAGACCTTCAAAAAATTCCTGAATGTCCATATACAGCTGTTGACACTCTGGTGTATCCATTATTGAAGAATTGAGACATTCCAAGCAGAGTTTCCTCCCATCATCTAATGTGATGTATTTGATGTCCATCGGCTGAATTTCAGAAGGATGAAAAGAAATGAATTACTAGTTCATCCACAAATGTATACTGAAATTCATAAGTGCCATATAAATGTCACATAGTTAATCACATCTGATCACTAGAGAAAAGAAGTAATTACATAATTAATTGAAATAACCACTAGTGACACAGGAGCTACTTGCTAGCTGTTAGGCAGTCCTATGCTGAGCCAGATATTGACACAGAAGTTACTTCTTTGCTTTTAGAATGCTTGAGAAGTTTCTGTTGAATTCTACATTGAGCCAGCTTTTCAAGAACCTATCACTAATTGCAAGCTATTGCTGAGAAATGAAATAATAAGAATGGGAATATGGGAACCCCAGTTACAGCACTATCTGCATCTATATAAACTGGTGATGAAATGATCGCATAGATTCAAAACAAATTTAAATTGTTATTTTCCAAATGGTAGTCAAAACTGGCTGGTTTCTTTCCAGGAACAAGAAGTGACAAGCTGGGGAAACTGGTCTCATTGAGGATCTAGATCCCTGCACTGACCTCCATTCTTTCACAACTGCAACACCTAGGAGTGCCATCATCTTCATGGGAAGGACAGTACTTTTGCATCCAGAATGGATGTGCTCGGTATTCGATCAGCCCATTCCTGTTCGTTGGAATCTGTGTATGAAATGCAACAGTCTCAATTCAAGACAGATCAGGAATGTAACTCCAACTAACACGTCCATGCACATTCTGAGCATGGAATTCATTCACTTACAAAGTTCTTGCAGACATCACATTTTGGATGGAAAAAATCTTTGTAGCATGATTTGTGGTATGGCTGATCTTCATGCATAGCAAACTGAAATAGAAGAAAATAAGTATAAAACATTACATCTGATTGTAAGGACGGTTAGTGGTGATATAATAGGGTGTAATACCTCATACTCAGAGATGGGCTTGTTACAAGCAAAACACCTGAAGCACTGAGGATGCCATACTGAATCCATACAGCTAAGAAAACGTCCATGACCAATTGGGTTTTTGCATCCAGCACAAGTTCTGCAAAATCGGGAATGAAAAAAAAAAGGACTGTAGCTGTCATCATTAAATCAAGACTAACAAATAAACAAGATCTTTGCATGATTGCATCAGAAATGTGGAGCAGATCATCCCATGACTGCATGGCATGCGCAACATGCTACGAAGTACTAATCCTTTTTATGCACATTCATCAGGACAAGAACATGCATATTGAATATATTTCTCAAGTAGAAGAAGAACATATGCTGAGAAAAATAAATTTGGATACTGTGATTACAAAGTTACTTTGCCAACAACTGGCTGTTATTTTTTTTTCGGGGGGGGGGGGGTGAGGGTGGGGTGGGTGGGGGGTAGGATGGAGGTAGGAGATTCTGTTAATCCAACACTGTAAACAAAATAATGAACCATAATCCAATTTACATAGCATCCGATAGGCACCTGGATCCACTTGAGGCAAATAGAATCGGAGGCAGCTCTCTTGGGGGCTCTGATGGAACATTCTCAACAGGAATATTCTGACGTGGAGGAGAGTCAGCATTAAGGCTCTCCTGGAGAGCTCGTGCAAGTTGTTCATCTTCCTCCAAATTATAATCGATATCTACATTGAAACAAAAATGGAAATGGTAGCATACCACACTCTTAGTCTGTTTGTACTGGATCATTTTCTTTTCCACAGTCCTTGTTCTCAAGGAGATAAATATCACTATAATGAACAACTAGATAAGATGATACAAATGCTCAGGATAGTACTAACCAACAGCTTTTCCCTTATTTTGTTCTTCTGATAAAGACAGTGCAATAGCACGATCTATATCTTCATTATCACTTTCATCATACGCTCCCTACAGCAATCAAGATGCAACACTGAGTGACCATTCTTTTATCTCAGGAATAGGCATTCTACAGATCGAGGTTTAATCACTTAGAACAATGATTTCTCTGAGAGAAACTTAGAACAATATGTGCAGATAACAACATAAAAGGCAAGAAACTAACTCTGGCGTTATCTGATGAATGACCTTCATGCCAGCTTCCATCATAATGGCCCCTTGAAACTCTATTTACTGAACCTTTAAATATTTTATTTAACCAACCCATGACTCGAGGTTATCTGAGGGTCGAATTTTCTGTAGCCTGCAGCAGAGAACAAAATGGATTTAGAAATAAAACTTGGAGAAGTTTGTGCAATCAGATATGTTCTTTTAAAAAAACTTTGCAGATAGTCCAATCATAGATGAATGATCTGAACCATTTATAAACACCAGTATAAAAATAAACTATTTTACATATTTTTACAAAGTGGTGTTTGTGATTAAAAAAATCAATATATAGTGTTTCTGCATGTCTTGTTTATATAAACTTATTGACTACCTCAAAGTAGTCCTAACATGCATACATGACATTCAGATTTTCCTTTACAATCCAATCGTACTATCAACATGTTCTTTTTTTTTCTTTTGCGGGGAATACTATCAACATGTTATTAATCAGAATATGTAATACACAATAGAATAAGACATTTTAAAAATATAAATCAGTAAGGAACCTTCACTGGATGAAACTATTAGTCTAAGAATACATGTTGAATTCAGCACAATGGGGTTGAAATTTCTATATCATCATGCAGAAAACATGGAACAGAGGTGATCAGCCAGCACATCATATGTCCAACTACATGCCCCTCTCACCTGTTACACTATGAATTCACAGAAGGAAATAAAACAAAAAGAAAAACGAACCAAACGCAACAAAACAACCCTATATCAGTAAAATTTGGTATGCTTGGAATCCTACAGAAACTTTGAACTAAGAGAAGCTCTGATGCAGTTCTGCTTAAACAATTGGTCGACTTCCTGACAACAACTGAGACCAAGTTGGCCAACCCATGTTATGATACAACCACGTTAGGTAACAACCCAATATATTTAATCACCAGGCACTTAACAAGAGGAGATAAAATATTCGTGAGAAATTATTCCTATGGTCATCCTCCTCACCGAAAGAGGGCATTAAGAGCAACCAAGAAACACACATTGAGATAAAAAAAAAAACAAGGTGCAATTCTGTAAGAACATGCATTACGATTTCTTGCAACTGGCAAGTAATGACCAAATTGTCAAGCATGATTCCTATGCAGCAGTTATACATATTTCTAAGTCAGTGCTCAGTGGCAAAAGGGGAGCTTTTAGTCCCTAAACTTACCAGAAGACAAAAATCTCACAAACTTTTCGCCAATCGAGAACGTTTCCAGTACTTCAGAAAACCAAAGCTGAAAAGGAAGCAAAGCAGGTTAGCACAAGAAAGCTGGAAAACTATGAAGTCTGAACTGAAAAAGAGCAACTCAAATTGTCCTAGCATCTAAGAAATCAAGAAGCATTCACAGACCTTGAGCCTGCAACAAACTAGGAATTCAGTTCGCCGTCGATCGCCTCGCCTCCCGCTCAGTCCGCTGTGATCAAACAGAAGCAAATCAAATCAAATCACTGAGCCCAACACCAAGACAGCATAAGAACACCTAACTTTACCATTCAACGAACCTTTCACCTCGAAGTGACCCTGAAACTCCCACAAGAAACTCCAATTCTCTGTAGTCCCGATTGACCACGCACCAAGAACCGAGACAAAGGGTAACTAATCGAGCTCGGGACAGGCGAACCACCGGCCACGGACAGCTCCGGTTCTTGATCTCTCCCCACCCAAGAACGCCTTCCACAGGATAAAGAAAAGAAGAAGAAGAATAATAAGAGGCGAGAAGGGATGAGACGGAGACGCGAGAGAGACCCTTGAGCCGGCGAGGCGACAGGTAGGAATCCAGGGGGAGGGGAAAGAGGACAAGGGAGGTGAAGGAAGCGTGACATGGACGGGAAGGAGGAGGCGGACTTGCTGGCCTGGTGCCTCTGCGCCTGGGTCAAAGAAAAAAGGGTGACGTCCACCTCGTGCCCGCACAGGTGGCGCGGTGACGTCTCGCTTGTGCGCCCGCGCGCGCGGCGGGCGGCGCGGGAGGCGTCTGCCCCCACGTGGGGGCGGCGCACGCCCGCCCGCGCCCGGCGTCGCATTCCGTCGAACGCCTCGCGGGCGAAGCGGGGTGTGTGTGCTGCGTAGTAATTGGAAGGAAAAAGGCGAGGGAGACCGTGCGAGTCGTGGTGGAGTGTTGACTCGCAAGTTGACTAGTCAACGGTATTAGGAAGTACTCGTCACATTCCTCGTGATCACAATCCGCATATTTTTCAACCAGGTTGGAAAATTGAAAATTTTGGAATGCACAAGTTATCATGATAATAGGTTGGTTGCTTATCAATTTTGAAGAAAATTTGTCAAAGTTCATTGGATTTTTTTTTTTGAGAATTACATAGTACAACGCAGACACTCATTTGTCAAAGTTCATTGGATTTTTTTTTTGAGAATTACACAGTACAACGCAGACACTCATAACGCACGCGCACTCACCCCTATGAACCCCTACCCCTATGAGCAAATCCTGGAGAGATTGACGAAGTCACCACAGGCGCCTCGCTACGCACGCGCACTCAAATCCTGGAGAGATTGACGAAGTCACCACAGGCGCCTCGCTACGCACGCGCACTCACCCCTATGAACACACGTACGCAAACCCTACCCCTATGAGCAAATCCTGGAGAGATTGACGAAGTCACCACAGGCGCCTCGCTACGCACGCGCACTCACCCCTATGAACACACGTACGCAAACCCTACCCCTATGACGAAGTCACCACAGGCGCCTCGCTGTCGACGGGTACGTCGCCTACCACTGAAAGCACAACGCCGTTAAATCCTGGAAAATTCGCTCCCACGGGGAGTCGAACCCAGGACCTCAGGTGCTACTGAGGCTCTTGTAACCACTAGGCTATAGGCCCTTTCGCAAAGTTCATTGGTTTTGATAGAATTATTGTCTGGTTTTTGTTATTGCTACATGTCGATAATACCGATTGTCTAGTAGTTGTTGATAAAGCCTACCCCACTCTCATTCATTATCTAAAAAAAATCCATTCTAGTTTTTTATTTTGCGATGACGACAACCGTTGAATCCAACTGGGGGAGAGGTACTCGACCTCTGAAGCGATCTAGCCAACGATGTGGATGGTGTCGGTAGAGTGGGGTCAACCAAACAATATATATACGTTGCCAACATGCTTGATGTTGGCGGAGCAATGGTACGAGTGGCAAGTTGCCAAGTAGGCGGCAAGCGAAAGCCTTCCCTTGCGCTTGTTGGGTCGACAACGACGACACTTCCAAGGACCATGACCACTCCTTAACGGCATTTTTTTTGCACCCTGCCCTCCGTTGGCGGGATCCTCCGGGTAAAAACTAAGTCCAAATCCACACATGGGTGGTGGCGACACTTTTGACGTCCCGTTCTCTTTGGAGGTGTCGTTTAGGAGATTTCATTTTTCATCTATTAGCCTTCAGGCAGTTGGAGTGTTTTGGATTATGGCGGGTATGTACAAGGGACTTCTCTCTCGCCCTCTCCTTGGCTAGTGGTGTCCGGGAGGCTGCGGGTGTTTTCAAATGATTGGAGGTGTTGGGGGTAGTTTAGTCGTGGCTCTCTTGTAGGTTTGGTGGTGTCCGGTCGCACTGAGTGATGGTTAATGCGGCGCTACTTCTTTAGTGTGAGTGGGCGCTATCGGTGTGTGGTGGTGTGTTTTGTTTTCTATTTTTATTGGTTATAACCTTACAGGGTTATAGTCTTCTTGTTCATTTAAAGAAAATGATTTCGAGTAAAATTGATCTATGCTCTGTTCATACAAAGTAATTTTATGGTGGTTTCTATGACTAAATATTTTGAAAAAAAATAAATGGGTGTGCTGTATACAATGTTATATGCTTTTTAGTTAGAACTAATCATATCTAAAGGCATTTACAAAAAATGTAGAAAACATATGTAAGTTAGCCATTGCCCTTTTAATATGTACTCCTATATGATTTCATAAGTAGATCTCTAATTTGATTTTTTTAAAAGCACGTCACATTTGATCATTTTCCGAGATTTTATTTATATAATGCCTCTACAAAGAAGTAGTAATGCAGTGTGCTCAGTGCCTACAGAGTAAAATATATTTTGGTGGGTTACTTTTTTTTTAAGGAAGGATTGTGATAAAAATTGAGTAATGTAACAGTAAAATATAGTTTCTCCTTGACTGCAATACAAACTAAAGATTCACGTTCCATCATCGGATGCCTCGTACGTGGTTTGTACAAGGTTTAAATTAATTAAACAAGTAGTTCCACACTTTCATATTATAAGAGAAAAGTACAGTTACAGCAACATGCAGATGAAAGCATAAACATACTAGGTTGCAACCTTGCAATTGGAAGAGACACATGTAATGTAAGTCCATATACACATGCCAAGTTGCATAATGCTTTCACAAACATTTGAGTGAGCAGAGAGAATGCTGATATTCAAGAACATGAATTATTGAAATTATAGTATAAACAATATACCACAAAATCAAGTAGCGTTTCCTCTTCCAAACCACAGCCCAAGTAATCTAATTTGTTATTGAGCCCACAATATGTTTAGGTGAAGGCACACATCAAAGCAATTCTTTTGCCAGAATCTCAACTCTTAAGACACATCATGTGGACAGCTCATGTTAGGTACTCACAACTTAGGAGTCACCCAACTTAGGAGTCACATTATTTAACTTCTTCTTAAGATAATGAAAAGTTGTTTACATTTTTCTCAACCATCCTTCTGACAAAGGGATCACTCAGCTGAATTTTGACCCTTTTCAGCTTATTCAAGATGGTAATCTCCCCCTGGTAAGGCACATGCTTTTCTTTCTCCAGATGCTCACCACTGAAGATTTTTACTGAATCAGATTCCATCTTGACAGCAAAGCTTTCATCATGTTGGGACTGAAGTACTGAGTTACAACCCACACTATAATGCTGCGAATTTGGTATGTAGCACATCTTTTGGATGAACAAGATCCTGAACATGCCGGGAAATTCTTACTTACCTCAACTTCCCTGAGCTGAACAATCTGATCAAGGCATACCTCATGAGTCATCGATGGAGACGCTTGACAAAAGATGATAGCAGCTTTGCCTTTTCAATTCATTCTGTAAGGTGGAGCTTCCACTAACATCAAGACCAAAAAAATCACCATTGGCATCCCACTGAAGCTGATGCACACCGAGCTCTTTACTTTCCCCCTAATCATGCCCAACAACATCCAACTGCAAGTTTATCCACCACATCTGTCCAAAATCAAGGTAGAGAGTAGCAAAGCCAAATCATTACTTCAAAGAAATACTGTGTAAAAGTTTTGGCATAACGATTACCGATCAAGATTTTACATGCAAGCTAAGCATGCACTCTTATACAAATCTCTGGTGCACTTTGCATGATAACTCTAATCTGACCTCATGTCCATCATCAGATTGACCAAGACAATCTCCCAAAGAATCTACGATAAGCTAAATGCACTACTCTTCCCTATATTTTCAAGATGAATTTTTTGGGGGAACACCGAACACGCAAAAGGTCCGCTTGTCTTTTCAAGATGAACTTCTGTCTGATCATAAAACATTACCTTGCCTGACTGACATAAGGCCTGACAAAAGTCCTTCTCCACCATACTTCAAATGCCCTCTGGAGATTAGGGCAATTATCCCCTAACTTCAAGAATCTCCCAAGCCATGCCAGTAACATGGACCGCTGATCTTCCAAGGGAAGTGTCAGGATTGTCTGCCCGATCCCTTCCTCGACGAGCTTCCTATCGAATGACCGGCAGCTGCATTGTAACCATGAGTAGTCATCAATGAGTGGTTGCAGCCAGACTTGCAAGAGGAGAAGACGGGTGTTCTTGGATGGAAGCATCTCTCCTCTTCCAATTCCGACAAAAAGCCTTGCTGTGATACAGCTAACAGTGTGACGAGAGGCAACCGGCAATTTTCCATGTAATTCTGCAATCTTGCTTTGGTTTGCCCATAGAGCCACAAAATCATCGCAGATGCGCTGGTTAACCAATATCTCAACCAACCAGAGGAGATTATCTGTCTCCAGAGTTATTTGCCGTGTAAGTTCAACAGAAAATTCTTGTCCCGTCGCTTCTGAAAACAGTAGTCGAAGTCTGTCTAAGCAACCTTGGCATGAACTGTACAATAATTCTGAACTGATGTCTGATGATCCATCTGTGCAATGGTTGCTGTCTTTCAGAAGATTCAGAACAAGGGCTTTCATTTCCCGACGCGCCCTGTCATCAGTGCTCTTCAACACCATCTCCATTATAAGAGCTAATGTATCAGTTGGTGATTTTAGATTGTCAGAAGTAATTCTTTTCAGCAGAGGACTAACTCCATAAGCCTTGCTCTGAAGATGCCGTATCGAGGACACAACATTGTCTTCTTCCTCACCAACCCAAGGAACAGCTTCCAAATAATCCAAGCATGACTTGACACATGCGTGGAAACCAAGCGACTCGGCAACCTACAAAATTTCCCCCATTTTAAAAACGATCAATATGACAAAAAGGAGTGCTTAAGATCACTACAAAAAAAAACAAATTTCACCCTCAAATACTACTATTCATCAGAAGGAAAACACATAACCAAAGCAATGATCAGATAATCAGATTGATGTGTTTATGTTCTATTTCTCGCATAATCGAAGTCTCAAAATTTTTAGTAAGATCGCGAAGAACATTTTGCACAATGTCTGAAACAAGAACACACACAGAGAGAGTTCACTGCAATGTGGAATTCAGATCATCTGCAAATATTACCTTCATGATGCGAAGAACACGCGAGACATTCTGCTTGAGCAGCTTGTGCTTGGCCTCGTCGCAGTACATGAGCCCGACGGTTTCCACATAGATCTCAGCGTCGTCGCAGTCATGGATCTCCAGGCACGAGCCATGGCCATGGCCACCGGAGCCGGAGGAGGAGGAGGAGGAGGAGAGCTTCTCGGCGAAGAAGGCGCTGCTCCGGCGGAGCACGTCCCCGTGCACGCTCATCCTCACCGCGATCCCTTCCTTGCCGTACAGCACCACCGTCACGTCGCTCGTCTCCGGCTGCCCGAACCCCACGCAGATCTTGTGCCTCTCCGCCTCCGCCTCCGCCGCCGCCGGCTGCGGCGGCGGCTCGTCGGGAGCGTCGCCGGCGACCGGCTCGCTCAGGACCGAGGGGGCCCTCGACGGCGGCGCGGATGGGGTCGTCGTCTTGTGCTGCTGCGGCGGCGGCGTCGGCGGCGGAGGCTTGTGGTTGCCGCCGCCGCCGTGGTGGTGGGGGTTGTTCTTGAGGCTCTTGTGGAGCGCCGCCGGCGACGGGCAGCACCAGAATCCCTCCGGCGTGACGGCGATCGGCACGGCCCGCATCCTCGCCGAGGCATCCACCCTCTTCGCCCTCGTCTCCTCCATCTCACATCCGATTCTTCACACGCACCTCGAAGATTTTTCTTCTCCTGAAAAGAAAATTTTCTGCGCGAGATCAAGAACACAAATCTGACAAAGGAAGAATATTACTCCGAACGCCAACTGCATTGCATGGACGCGAAATTGGGAGAACGAAAAAGGTTTGAAAGGACCAACAAAAATCCGGGGTTTTCGCATCCAGAAAATTAAAAGAACAGAAAAGATCTCTACTACTAATTGGGAAGAACAACACAACAGCAAAATGGCAGCTCGAAATAATACAGATTACTGATAACACAACACAAGAAGCAAGATTTCACCTCGAAAAACCACCACCACCGCAACAACACAAAGAAGAAGAAGAGCTCCAAGAAGCAATCCTTGTGTCCTAGTACGAATCAAGGAGATGAACTGATGAAGTGAACGAACGAAGTATAAATTGCTTGCTTTCAGCTCACAGCAGCTACTCGTAGCTACCACATCGGGTACATTCCGGTACACGCTGCCCTAGCAGAGCAGCAGAGTGGTAGTACTACCACTAGTGGTTAACCGAATCCAATGCCTTGTCCTTACTGTTGTGTGTTAACCGAGAGCAAGCAGGCGTGGGTTTTTGTGTCCTTTGCTGCAAGGACACTCACACCCGTCCCCATTTTCACTCCACCTTCACACTGCAGCTTCACTGTTCCAGATGGATCATGGATGGCCAAGGCCAACTCATGTTTCTTTCTTTGCTTCTCCTTCAGAATTCAGAATTCAGATTGATTCTTGGCATGGTTTACTTTCCCAAGAATGGTGAATTTTAGTGGTAAACTTAGTACTAGCAGACAAGTAAGGTTTAGGTTGGAGTATAATACTAAAATTTTGTTTGGAAGTTGGGCAAAGACAAATGACACTGGATTATTTGGAGTGCAGGAACATCTTTCTTGAGATGTGAATAGAAAAAAAACAGCATGGATTGCTGTACTGCACTCTTTTGTTAGTCCCAAAAACCAATCATGTGTGAAAAGAAATGGGAGATGGCAGGAAAAGATGTGGGTGGCATGCATTATCTATGACAGTTTTTTAAGATACAAAGATGAGAGGAAAGTGCTTGATAATTGTGTGGTTTGCTTTCACATCAGATGAGAGTATGTGATGATGAGATTGAGAGGCCCACAGACACAGTGAGCAAGAATAAAGTGTAAATTGCTAGTACTGGATTAGTGGTTCAAAACACCAGATTGATGTCCCTCTTAACATCAGACCAGGAGATTACACCTCACACCAACCCTCTGCATTATATTGAGTGGATCATAATTCATACCCTCCCACAAGTTTGCCCCCAATAGAATTTAGTGTGCCATTTATGGTGTTGTTTGTACACTTGTACTGCATCAGATATCTCTTTTTATTATTGGGGAATTATTTGCGGATAATTTTTAAAAGGTCTTATTTCTCCAAAAACTTTTCTGCATCAATATTGTTCAGACCACTTGTTCAAAAGAACAAGCTATTTGTTAGGTTCATAATATATTAGTATTTAATTCATCCATGTAAAGAAATCCATCATCTACCAACCTTTCAACCATATTTCATCAAAAGACCTAAAGAATTTTTTTTTCTACTATCATTCTCATGAGCAGAGATAAGGAGAGAGCTGAGATGACATTACTACAAGCTGGGCCATGCACAAGGCAAGGCATGGGAGTGACTGACTGACATGAGTGGCCTGTACCAGTTGGATCTAGATTCTGAACAAACCGCATCAGGGACTGTGTAGAGCTTTGGCTTGTTTTCACATCTCCCTTTTTCTTTTCTTGCTCTTTTTTAGATAATAAAATTCCTTTCCTTGTTCTTGAGAAAGGCTTGCTTCTTTTCGCATCACACTTGAATTGCAGGACTATTTTTCCCAAGAAAACATGATGATGGCTCATCTGATTATTTCAATCGAGCTGAGTTTTTTTTTTCCAGTTCAGAGGAAAAATGCATAGCATATGGCCTGTTAAACTAGGGCAATCTGAGAGAAAGGTACATTTTTTTACAGCACCCTCTGATAGGATCAGAATCTGTCTCATAATCACTCATGAACTGGCTCCCAAATTTTCCTTTTATACTAGTTAGAAATGGAAAAAAACTAAAGTTAATGATAAGTTAATCATAAATCAGAAGTAGTGGTTACTGTTCTTTTAAAAAGAAGAACAGAAGTAGAAGTAAGAATGGCACACAAAAGTAAGAGCCGCGTGCAACACTATCATCAAATCCATTGTCGTCTAGTCCGGTTAGGATATCTGGCTTTCACCCAGACGACCCGGGTTCAAATCCCGGCAATGGAATTCTTTTTCATGATTTTTTCCCCTAAATATCACATTTCACTTGCTATCATTCTTTTGAAATTGTGATAGAATGAACAAGTTGTGCACTTCCGATCCTTTTGAAATTGCTTCACCAAAACAGCTACCTTATGTCATGGGATTTGTAGAAATCTTGTGGAGAACATGTTTCCGGCATTTCAGTATGATGATGAATTGCAAATTAAAATATCATCGCTATCAAGCCCATGTCCTGATGAGATGCTCATCTTACATTTTTGAAGCTTTGCTAATGAGATTCATGATAAGTCGCAGAAATATTATCGCCAACCTATAGAAGATGCAAAATGGAGTATATAGGTTTCAATCTTCCAAACAAGCAAAGCATAAGAACGGTACTGCGATTTTGTTTACTCTCCAGCGTTTTCAACCTGTCGATGAGCCAAGTATGTACGTACCGGAGCATCACGTCGCCGGCAGCCGCCGCCGCCGCCGCCTCGATCTCGCGCGGCCATCGTTCCGCTGCCGCTTGATGTCACGGCGAAGCGGCGGCGATCTCTCCGGCGAGGGATTCGGCGCCGTTGCAGGTCCTACGTCCTCGGGGAGGGCGCGTGCGCTGCGGCGGTGGCGGCGGCGAGGGGGTCGCCGGCGGAGAGGCGGAGACGGACGGCGAGCAGACGGCGCCGCTTGGTTTTCCTTTTTACCCCTCGTATTGTTTGATATTTACGTTTATGCCCTCCAAGAAATGGAACGCGATGGTAGCGATCCCGAACCGTCCGATCAAAATCGTGCGTTCCAGATTCACTAGGGAACAAGAGCAGATATGCCGTGTTGATTTCGTAAAACCCCTTTGTGCATTTCTAGAATTCTAGCTGAGTAATTAATTCACTTTGATCATGTCAATTGTCAAAGTTAGAGATGGTCACTTTTGCATAGCTTCTCTGTTCTTGTATCATTCTTGCATGAAATGTTTTCTCTGAATTTCCTCTCTAATAGTGTGTCATGCACTGCTACTGTTTCTGATTAACTGATCCTGAACTTGAAAACCCTTTACTATCATTGAGCATAGTTTTTTTCCCTAAATATTATACTGTAAATGTGTTCTTCACTGAGCACAAACTTGCATTGTGATGATGGTGCATGTTCCTTTCAAATGTTTCACCGGATGAACTATCAAAGATACTGCAGGCTGATGCAGATAAATTGTACTCCCAGGCTAAGATGATTAAGATCTCTGCTCTGCCTATCTAAGCCTACAAGGAACAAAATTATGGTGGCAAATCTGAGCCTCATGTACAGGGCAGCTTCTTGGTTAAGGACTAAGGAGTAAAGATGCTGAAGCCTGAACTAGAAGAAGGTTCCTCCACTACATCAACCACAAAAAAAGGTTGGGTTTTGATGCAGCTGCATGAATGCAGTCATTTTGCAGATGTATTTCCTAGTTCTCCTGTACTCATAGTAAGGCCCTGTTTAGTTCACACCAATCTTCTCCCCAACTCCCAACTTTCCATCACATCACATCACATCCAAAACTTTCCTACACACATAAACTTCCAACTTTTTTTTCAAACTACCAACTTTTCCCAAACTTCTCTCCAATTTCAGGAACTAAACAAAAAAGTACAAAATTGAACTACAGTGATTGAGTATTCAGTGATTGATTTCTCATGGCAACTCGTTGGAGAGTCGATGCAGCTCTTACTCTGCATATCTCAGCGATGGCATTTCGATTTCAGTTCTGTCAACTGCATTCGGTTTGCAAGCAGCTGTGCACAAGACAAGAGCCAATCAAACTCCAAAAAAAGGTGAAACTCCAATCCTGTACTACAAATATGCAGGGAAGAATCGATGCGAATTTGCTACATATTCCCTGAAAAAGAATCCTCGCATCCATCTGAAAATTCAGCTTATTTTCCTGCATTTTCACATGTTCCATGGGAGTGAACTGACTGAATTCAAGCTGTTTGAATGCAGTAGAGAGATCAATTGCGTGCTATTTTTGGGTAACAACCCTGAATTATACTGTACTAATCTTAATCTCTTACACATTACACCCTTCCGGGCTTGGATCGCAAGCAGATTGCGATCCACGTCCACGCCGTCCGATCAACATTGTGCGGCTCCGATGCGATTAGATGACGTGTACACGGGTTAATGTTATTGCACGAGTTAAATTCTGCCACGTGGGCTACGTACGTGTGTACACGTGGTAGTTAATTTACATTTTTTTTTTACCCCCCTCCGCCGCGGCGCGAAGGCGGCGGCGGCGGCGCCGGTCACCGCGCGATGAGCGAGCCGATGACGCCGGCGATGAGGGCGGTGGGGTCGCCGAGCACGGCGGAGATGACCACCTGCGCCGCGAAGCCGGCGATCTCGCAGCACCGCTTCACCTTCCCCTTCCTTCCCCAGTAGGACCCTCCCCTGCTCGCGTGGCTGCTCTTCGCCGCGCCGCGTATCACCGGCACCCTGTACCCGCCGCTCCCCGCCACCGTCACGCCGTCGTACACATTGCCGCCGCCGGCGACGCCGCCCTTGTGGCGGCCGACGCCGTTCCAGCTCTCGACGAGCATGTCCATGACGCACGCCACGTGGAGGCTGTAGCTCTTGCAGCTGCTCCGGTACGTCCAGCTCCGCCCCCGGTGCCCGCACCGGTGGCACGCCGCCGTCGCCTTCGGGTGCAGGTACAGCCTCGCGCCTCCGCCCGCCGCCGCCGGAGGCGGCCCCGGCGGCGGCGTCGAGGACGTGTGGGAGCGTGGCGCAGCAGGGGTGGAGGTCGAAGCCGCAGGCGCGGCAGTGGTAGACGAAGCCGGCGACGTCGCGGCCGCAGGCGTTGCAGTAGCGCGTCCCCGGCGCGCCGGGCGCCCGCGCGAGGAAGACGAAGGCGCAGCGCGGGTAGAACGGGTGGCGGAGCGGCGGCGGCGGCGGGGACAGCGGGAGCGCGCACTGGCGGTGGAGGTCGTGGTCGCAGCCGGCGAACGGGCAGCGGAAGCGCGCGCCGATGCCGACCTCGCGGCACCCGTCGCACCGGAACGGCGTGTCGGCGTGCTCCAGCCGCAGCCGGTGGTGCGGGTGGCTGAAGTGCACCACCTCGCCGTACCTCATCCTCGCCGCCGGCGGCGGCGGCGGCGGGCGAGTTGCCGAGTTTCTCGAGGTGGTACTATTCTGCCACTACGTGTACGCGTGAGAATGTGAGGAGGAGGTGACCAGGGGGAGATTTATATTGAGTTTTGGCGTTGTTGTTACTATTAAGCTTGGAGAGGAAGGTGTCATTGGAATGGAATAGATTCTATCTACTTCTCTATTGGATTTAGATGTTTGTCTATTTGTGGTGTTTTAAACTTGTAGACCTCTTTGGAAATGAGATGTTTTTTTCTTTTTTGGAAACATAATACAGACTCTGAAAACTGGGCTGGCATAACTTGAAACTTATGAAACCACCACACCCCTTTGTGTACCTCCGAAAACTGGGCTGGCATACCTTGAAACTTATGAAGTCACCATAGACATCTCGTTGTTAACGGATACATCACCTACCATTAAAAAAAATTAACAATAAACGCGAGCACATGTGCCAAGTCTAGCACTTGACCTCGGGTGGGAAGGTTCCACCATCATAAGCCTAACCAGTTG